CTGCTGAAGCTTGCAATGCCCTCATCTTCTTCAGTCTTAAGCATAGTATTAATATTGTAATGACTCCTTTACCTACATCACTTCTGCTTAGCAGACCTCTGTATCTCACACCTAAAAGCTACAAAATCCTTTTGCTTAACCAATTAATTCCTCGTCCCGAGTCATCATTTTTTAAAATTTCCACTACATTCATTATTGTGATCTTATTTTGGTAATATCTGGAAGCTGGGGGGATGACACAACTGAAAGGCATTATTGCTAGCTTCACTGTTTTTAGTACATGCTGAATTATTCTTCTGACAGGACTGATAAGTCTCTAAATAATCATTATTTCTCAATATTGGAGTATATCAGACTTTTTTTTTTTTTGTTACATGTATGTATCTTAATTTTATTAATGGTTTACTAGATGTTGTAGGATGAATCCAAAGTTTCGGATGGGCAAAAAATGTCTCTGAATACAAGGTTCATCTTTTCATGTAGAGAAGAGAAACAAACATTTACTGTACAAGCCACAGAACCTCTGTTCTTATATACCGGGGTGAAAAATTGGAGATTGTATTTTATGTGTGTTGATCTTTTTGAGAAGTTCTAGAGAATTAAATTTATAATTTCATATTTTATAATAACAACTTGTTTGCTCTTCTGTTTAGTGTGTCATCTCCTGATCACATATTCCTTCCTATTGCAAACTGGCAGCCGAAGGAGAATCCAGAAACAGAAGATGATATTGGGCCTCTAGTTCAGCACATCTATGAGGTATGCAATTACTACTGACCTCAATTACACAGTTCTGTAATAAATTCAATCTTTTGGTGACTCTTTTCTCTGGAGTAAATTATTTTTTTCTTCATTTTGTTCTTGCACAGAAACAATGATTTCAGTTTTTTTTAATGCTGTGTCAATAATTGGTACCTGCAGGAAGGGCTGGAATGCTTGCAATTAGTGTAACAGGAGTGGCCAAATAGAGGAGGCTGATTTTTTGCATCATTACACATATTTAATTTGCTATCCCTTTGAAATCTAGGTAAAACTTTTGAAGTAACTTGAACTCAGAAAATGACTCATGGCTCTAAATTATTCAGTATCCTCATCTGTATTCCAACTGTTTCTGAATCATTATTGACAAGTCTTTTGCCATGAAGAACTTTAAGTACTTAAAATTTCCTTAGAAGAATGATCACGGCTTTAATCTAGAGTAATTAAACAAAACTTACTGGGAGTGTTGTGTGAATAGGAACAGTTAGAAGTTGTTCTACAACTTAGACCATTTTTCTAAGGAAATATATGGGTGTATCTGTGCCTGGAATATCTTGGCTGAGCCATGTACAGTGGCTGTGATTTTTGCAATAGATTATTTAAAAAGTTTTCAAGGGGGGGTGGGGGGGGAACCAAACATTTCTTCAAGGCAAAATCCTAATGCCATACATCTTTTCCTCAAAGTAATTTTCATCAAATTAAGAGAAGTAATTTTAAGTTTTGCCTGTTGGGGTACTGCCATTGTTAGGTGAAGCTGTTGATGCCATTGCCAGAAGTAGTTGGGGGTAGGGACAGTATTATTTATGACTCCAATCTAAAATAACTATATGCATGTTAATAAGTAAGGTGGCATTAGTTGTTTGACTGTTGGTGGGGTTTTTTGTTGTTTGTTGTTTGTTTTTGTTTGGTTTTTTTACATCTATTAACTTTATTTTCATAATCAGCTGAGAAACAATGGTCCCAGTGCATTCAGCAAGGTGATGATGACTCTGCAGTGGCCTTACAAATATAAAAACAACACACTGTTGTATATTGTTCAGTATGAAATTGATGGTCCCATGAACTGCACTTCTGATATGGAAATCAATCCATTGAAAATCAAGGTAAGAAGGACCTTTCCTTTTGCTTGGATGGAATGAAGTATGTTTGCTTTGTAAACATGCTCAAAATACCAAAATCCCTGAGAGCAGCTTGCACTGAGTTTTCATGTGTTACTGAGAAGCAAGACTGCACTGTTTGATAGTACTTGGTGATGTATGCAGCAGGTGAAATAAAAGGTAGACAATAGATTGTCAATACAAAGTTAAATTTGTCTTGTTTCATGTTGTTGTTGTTGTTTTGGTTTGTATTTTGAAGACTGTACTGTGAGTTCTATGTCCAAAGCATTGAAATTATGCTGCATGTAGTCATGAACAAAAACATTCCAGATGTTTCTGGACTGTTTATGTAAATTTTCTGGGGTTTATTTCTTGGAAGACAATGGCATTTTTCTCTATTGTGAGCTTATCCATCTAGGCCCTCATCCAGACGCCACAGAGGTCAATAGGGGTGTTTCAGTGGGGCTTAGGTATGCTGTTACTGCCAGCAAAACATGCAGTTTGCAGAGCACGGAGCAGAAGAAACTCCCACTTTCCTAGGTTGCACTAGGCAAAGAAACACCAGATAAAAACTAGCAAATTTGATTGAGAGTAGAGAGCTGAATATTAAGAAAATTTAGAACAAGTAATAAAAATCAGTATATTAGTTCCAGAAGAATTTAAGCAAATATATGTATATAAAGACTAAGGGAAGATATTCAATGTATAGAAGAAAAGAACATTCATATAACTTTGATTATCAGAAAGCAGCTTTAGTGAATATATAAATATAAATTTCCTGTGCTTTTGCTATACCATTTGTAATAATACACTTTTTATAACTCTTTTGTTAGTTTTCTCATATAAATTAGTTATGTAGAGTACAAGCAGCATGGCTCTGCTTAGTCCTATATGTAAATTTGCAATTTTACACTGGGAATTTCTAAGGGATTACTGAAATTTATTAAATCTGCTGTATTTTCAAGGTCCTGCTAAAAAAGTTTTTGTCTGTCTGTACCTGTGTACATATGTACAGTGATCCATGGCACATCATCCCCATTCTAGTTAAAAAGTGAAATGTTGACGAAAAATCTTTAATGAGAGATTGTAAAATTGAATTATTTATTGCAGTCTAAAGGCATTTTTTTTTTCCTGCAAATGAAAAAGTTTTGAGTTGAAGAAGAATTAAGTTACTCAAGGCTCTGTGTTCTTAGTAGAAATTTGCATCAGTGAACTAGAAAAGGCAGAAGTAACACTGTGATTACAGCTGCAGGTAAAGCCACGTTCTGAAGAACAGCCAGGACAGAGAGAAACCTGATCCATTACTTCTTGACCTTACCTTTGAAGTCTGCCAATACCTAAATGTGAGAATTATTTATTATTTTGGTTTCCTTGGTGTATCCTAGATTTCTGATTCCAAAGATGATGACAAGAATGAAACCCTTGGCAGGGAAGATAATCGTGATCATCGTATCAGCCGAAGGGATGTCACTGCCACTGAGGGAGACGTGCATACTTTGGTAAGCTCTCAGCCTTGATGTGTTGATCATTTTGGGGTTTTTAAAAAATGAAGGTGGAGATGGAAGCTCCACAAGATCAAGAGTCATTTCAGAAAATCTATGTTATGTATTTAAACGATTAACAGACAAAAAATCCTATGCTGTGGAGCTGGTTGGTTTTTTGTGGGGTGTTTTGATTTTTTTTCCAACATGCATCAGTTTTCCTTGGGGTAGTCAGCCCATGAGGCACATGCCTACAGGTCTGTGCTGGTTTAAGTCCTTACAGACAAAGGTCAAACTGTGCACTTCTTTCAGTGTCAGTCTTCTCTGTTGTGCTGTTCTCTGAATTTGAAAAGCAGCATTTCATAGGAGGAAGGCTGGTAAAATAAGGTCACTGTGAGGGAGCAGGTGAGTGCTGCTGTCACCAGCTTTGCTACAAATTAGAGCTGATTTCACAGCATGTTTCCTAGCTAATCAGTGGCTCTTCTGCAGTTAGATATATGGAGGGCCTGTCCTGTCTGAACAAGACTGGAAATGATCTGTAATGTGAAGTAAATATTTTACTGTACCACTACCTACACTGTACAGTGCTTTTAGCTATACTACAGCTAAAAATCACAATTATAAAATGAAGCCTTGTTTTGCTCTTTCTTCATGAAATACTGATGATTTAGCACCAAGATTATCTGAAGGGTTTTAATAGAAATGTGGCTGAGAAAGGCCAGTGGTAAGTCTGGTTTAGATGTAGGTCAGTCAGTCAAGTTTGAAGACTTTGTTGAATGCAACAAAGAGGGTATTTTGTTGGCAGTGAGTGCAGTTAATTGCCATGAGTATTCTTACAAAAAAAAAAAAAAAAACTTTGTACACAGTAATGTGAACTGCCCAGGAACTGCACACCCCCCACCCCCATTTCTTTCCTACATGCATAGATAAAAGTACATACCTTAAAGCTACTGCCAGATGTTTCACCTGTGGGATCCAACTGGCTCATCTGGTATTTTGCTGAATGCAAACTTATGGGACGCTATAAATAATTATGCAGTCTCAGGGGTTATTTAACATATTCAATAGTTTATGGTACTTTGCTAGGAAAAGAGACATAAAAGCATGTATAAGAGTAAAGTAATTCCATTAACAACTTTTCAAGTATTTTCATATTTGGAATATCCTTCCTGTTTTCATATGCAGGGCTGTGGAACTGCTGATTGTTTAAAGATAGTCTGTCAAGTTGGCCACCTGGAAAGGGGAAAGTGCAATACTGTATTTAAAATCACGCCTTTGGACCCAAACTTTCATGAATGTGAGTGACTGAATATTCTGTCCCTGCTTCTGAAACATCACAAGTGATTTTTGTATCCACAAACAAAAAAAAAAAATCTGTTTTTTCTTACACAGAAAGAAAATCAGAATCACTCCTATTCTCTCAAATCATCTGCTTCTTTCCATGTTATAGAGTTCCCCTATAAGAACCTTTCCTTTGAAGATATCCACAATTCTACAGTAGTAAGTAATTTACATCAGCTTGAGTTACCATACATAATTACTTTGAAGTTAATACAAAACCAGTGATTGTTGAGTAGCTTCTTTGGTGCTTGACATAATCATAATTTTATTAAATATTTGATTACTATATTTCAGTTACACACACACAATTGAGGGTGAAACAAGGTTTTTTTTTGTCCTAAAACTACAGTTAACAGTATTTGTAGCTTTAAAAACTTCACTGAAAATGAAAAAAATCATGGTGAACAGTTCTAATGTATTTATTAATACCATTGTTGCTAGATAAATAGTTTAGTTGAAAATTACCTTCTACTGTAGTAACCCTTAGAGCTTGAATAACGGACCTTTATTATATTGTATTATATTGTATTGTATTATATTATA